CAAAGAACAAATTAAAACACAACACACTTGAAGTTAAAACATTTGACAGTAAATATAATTTTCAATGTAATCAATATTTACAATCAAAAGAGAATACACATGAAATAAACAAAAGAAGATTCCTGCTATTTTAGTTCTCTGTGCCTGCTGTAACAAAATACCACACACGGGCAGCTTCAACCAACAAGAAATTTAACCTCTTAAATTATGGAAGCTGTAAGTCAAAATCAAGGTGCCAGCAGGCCCATACTCTCTGAAAGCTCCAGCCCATCTTCACATGACCGTCTTTCCTCGGTGTTCGTGTCTCTTATTTTCTTCTATAAGGATTCCAGTTACATAAAGCGAACCCTTCTCCAGTATGGGCTTACATTAATTACATCTGCAAAGACCTTATTTCAAGAAGATCATTCACATATGTAAGTGGAGGTTGGGACTCCAACTGTATATCAGACAACATTTTGTTGTTATACATTGGGTGGCTAATTTTCAGAAGTAGATAGCTCAGTCTTTCTTCCTAGTCTGTCTTGGTTCAGAAGCTCTGCTGAAACTGTAGGTAACTCTGCTGGATGTGAAATACCAGTGGGATAGCTTCCAGCCTCACAGGTATACACAAGCCACCGCAGTATCACAAACTGACAGACAGGTGGTGGAGCCTTTCTAGGAGCCTCATAAGGATGCTAACGCTGGACAATGGAAAAGGAAAACAGAAGAACTGATCCATTGGATTGTGCTGTTGACTCCCCATTTTCCCCACCTTTCATTTCCATGCCCCCAGACAATCATTAATCCAACTACTGTCTTCAAAAATCCACCCATCCTGGTTTCTCTATATAGAAAAACATACAAAACAAGGAACCAACAAAACATAAAACAGAAAGACCACAATCTCAGCGAAAGCAGAGAATATTAAAAATTAGAATAAATTCAAAATGGTTCCATAGGGGGATCCAGTAACATGATGTTACATTCTGGCCTAAGTACTGCTGCTAAAGTCCATTTTACAGTGCTCTTTGTCTGATATTAGGCCTGTTCATAATCTAGTCTATGGACATTAAAAATTCATTGGGGACTCAATCCACATCGCTGCAAGTAAGACTTTGGACTTCCACTGTCACCCATACTGTTCCACAAACCAGTTATTTAGAATTGAGGTAGGGGCACTGTTCCCTCTTCCAGGTTTGAATATTGTTATTTACAACCCTTGGATGACACAGGCTGGTGTGCTTCCTCTGTGTGGATTTAGCTGATTCATTTAGATGGCTGCTTATTTTGAGACAAGCCTTTAAGATCCCACACACAATTTTTCTTGAAAGCTGGACACCATTTAATTTCACATTTTGCTATGGCACCCATATCTTCACTGAAAGCATTTTTTATTTCTAATGTGAATATTAACTTATGATCCCCCTTTAGCTTATGTTCCCCCATTAGCTTAGGTTCCCCCTTTCTACCCCACCTTCCCTCCACCCTCCTGGTATCGCCACTCTCACCACTGGTCATGAAGGGGTCATCTGTCCTGGATTCCCTGTGTTTCCAGTTCCTATCTATACCAGTGTACATCCTCTGGTCTAGCCAGATTTGTAAGGTTGAATTGGGATCATGATAGTGGGAGGAGGGGAGGAAGCATTTAAGAATTCGAGGAAAGTTGTATGTTTCGTTGTTGCTACACTGCTTGC